TGACAGCTGGATCCCCTGGGGCGGCAGCAGCTGAGGGGGCTGGATCCCCCAGGGGAGGCACCGGCTCAGCCCCTCCCCCCCACCTCTATCAGCCCAGCGACCACACTCTGCTCCCCCTTCCACTCGGAGCCGGCAGCGCCCTTGGCCTGGGAATGCACCGCAGGGGCCAGCACTGCCCAGGCCAGAGGGACAGGACCTGGTGCAGCCGCGCTCTCACGTCTGGTTCTGATACACGCGGCCGGGGCACAGGCACCCCGAGGGGCTCTGCTCAGTTGGGGGGGCGGTAGGGGGCTGAACGGGGTGGGACGGGTCAGGGAGACGACGGTGGCTCCTGCAGCGATGCTGGGGCCTCGCCCGATGGGGGGAACAGAAACATCCTGCCAGAGACAACGCTCAGCGTGACAGACGTGGGGGAGCGATCTCTGCAGTGGGGATAAACCCCGTTCAGTGACCCCCGGGGTCTGACGTGCCCCCTCACCTCTCCTCTGCAGCGTCTCCTTCCCGTACTCCAGGTACTTCCCCAGCCACTCAATGCAGGTCTGCTCCAGGTAGGTTTTCTGTCTCTGAGCGATGCTCCTCTCTTCATCCCATTTCCGTTTGGTGATCTGAGCCCCGTCATCTGCCGCTACCCAGGTCTCCTGGTCCTTATCCAGGCTGAGGAAGTCGCGCCCATCGTAGGCATACTGAAAATACCCCCCTTTGGAGCCGTCACCCCGGAGCTCACAGCCGTACATCACTTGGAAAGTGTGAAATCCTGAAACACACGGAGCCGGGGCCCAGGGCTGGGTCATGATTTGAGCCACAGGGAGCAGCTACTGCTAGAGATTCTCTATCACCCCCAGCCGCCCTGTGATGGGGGCACCAGCCCGGAGACCCCCTGGACCACCCCCCTCCCCAGGAAAAGAGCAGTAGAGGTGAGTCCTCCAAGCTGCCTAGAGCGGCTGCGGGGAGCAGCCAATCAGGGACCAGCAGGATCATAGGAGGAGGAGCTGCTGGGCAGAGCCCCACCCTTAACCCTGCCCTGCCTGGAGCAACCGCGCAGGGTCCCTCTGCCCCCCCCCCCGTTCACACCGACCCCCCCGCAGTGCCCTCCCCCGCCCCACACGTGCCCGCTGTTCCCAGCATCTACTTGTGCTCTAGGACCTGGAAGAGCTCCAGGGGCGCCCAGCGCTCCAGGGCGTGACTACGGCCGTGGAGGAGCAAACTCCGGTGGTTTTGCTCCTTTTCAGACCGGCCGCCGTCTCCCACGGGGCTGGAGCCGCAGGACGCCCTGGGCTAAGGTGGTTGCTGTTTCCCTACAGCCGGGCAGGCGGGGGAACGGGGACGAACGTGGGGGCAGGAAAGAGAAGCTAGGAGCAGGGGGCGACTGACTCGGCAAACAGCAGCAGGGAGCCCGTGGGTGCAGAGGGGGGGAAGGTATGAGAACAGCCCAGCCAGGGACCCAAACACCCTCCCACGCCCCCATCCCACACAGAGAAAACCACAGTCTGGGCTGCGTGTCCACCAGTGACAGGCGATTTGGGGGAGAGGCCCAGCCTGAGACACCTGGAAAGGACCCAACGCCCAGGGAGAGCCGGGCACCCCCCTCTGCGAACCAGGCCCTGTAGGTCGTGCAGCCAGCCCCCCACGGGTCACTGTGGGGAG